GATTTTCTTTAATCCCATATTTTTTTCAAGGTAAATGAAATTTTTTATTTTTCACTTTTACATACCATCTATGTAAACAACAGAGAAAATATTTTCATATCTAAAATTGTTCATTTTAAAAATTTCTCATATTTTTCCTACTAGAACTTATTCCAAGTTCATACAAACAAAAATATCAATTCCATTTGAAAGCGTTTTGAACTTTCATTGAAGTAGTTTTTTTTTAAATAATGCATTGTGTGTTCTTTAGTCTTCGAATTGCATTGATCTCAGAATTTTAACACTAAAAAAAACTAAAATAAATATTTTTGAATTTTGTTTTTCATAAAAAGCAAGTATGGAACTGAATATTTTGTTAAAGTTCTGTGAAACAAACAAATTTCTTTAAAAGGTCTTCGATATTTTTAGAAATAAGGTGCAATAATAAAGAGCTATATTTATGAATTTATTTATTTCAAAATTGGTAGTATAAATCTGATATGGTATCTACAAACTATTTTCATAGCAAAATTTTATAGAGAAAACAAAACCAAAAACTTAAACAATAGCATTGAAAATTTCGTTTAGCTTGAAGAAAGGGCAATGTAGCGGTACATAAAATGTGGCAACATTGTCTTCGTATCCTGTAATAAAAAAAGAACAAAATTTTCAAAGAGTCCTTAATTTCAAATATAATTTGGACGATGGTCATGACGATTGATATGGTCATGACAATCAAGCTTGCCGTTGAAAATTATTAAATGTTTTTGACATTTGTTGAAAAAGTGATAACAGTACCATTTAAAACTAGATTGGGCAATGTAGAAGGACAATATGTCTATTATATCAAGTCTGCGTTTTCGATGCGTTTAGCATATTATCCATTTTCCCTAGCCCAAAAAGTAACAGCATCCTTCAGATTATCATTAATCAGACTAATATTATGAAGCAATTCAGCTAAGGAGGTATCAATGTAGAGTTACGTTTCGTCTGCATAAATGTGGATACTCGCTTAGTTTAGATGATTCGTACGGTCATTTATATAGAGGCTAAAGAGAGGGTAACGTTACTGTGACTATACAGTTTTATTTTATCCTTTGGGTTTTCTTTTAGAACTTGACTATCACATAATATTGTGTTAGTAAAATTTAATTATTGTTCAATTATTTAAGAAATTTTGAAATTTTCTACAAATTTCAATTGAAACCAAAAACTACTTCAAAAACATTTTAAAAAGGAAAACGATAAATTATTTGTTTATTTCAATTGCCACACTTCGAACAAAATTTTAAGTACGAAATTTGGTCCTCTTAATATACAAAAATATTTTTGCATAATTTCAGGGGCGATAAAATACATTCAAGAACATTAAATTTTAATTAGAAAGCGATTAAATATGTTTGTACTCCGAAAACTTCTTTAAATGGTAAAGTTGATAAAATATGCAATTAAAAATCAAATAAGTGCATGCTGTGTAATTTAAAAAGTCAACAAAAGTATACAAGTAATTAAAATCAATTTTCCTTAACAGAACTTTTATGCGAAATAGAAAAGGGAAGAAAAAATCGTGAACCTTATTTTGATAGCAAAACTCGTTAAACTCGTAAAATTATAAATCAAAGAAAACAGAAGAAAAAAATTAGGACTGCAGTAAATTAAAGTTTGAATCCTTTTTAAAATGAAAGTTTTTTTTTTGTGTGCTACATCCAGACGGTGGAAGAAATAAAATTTATTTTATTATGTAAATAAAATTTGAGAAGTCTTATTGCCTTCCCATTTCACAAAAAAAAAATGTAAATAAATTAAAAGAATGTTTTTCTTTTAAATAAAACGAATAACTTATGTACATGTCCTTTTTATTTTGTCGTAAAGAACAACAGATAAAAATTGTAAATGAGCTGTAAGAGACACAATAAAGGAAAAAGGATGTTAACCCGATAAATATTTAAGAATATCTTACTAATATAAGAATATCTTATTACTTACAACTTAAGGATGATGAAGAATTGTTCGTAATAGTTGAAGTTCAGGATACAATTTTTTTACGACCTTACATTATGATTCTGGGTTTCATATAACCTAAATTCTGCTAATAATAAAAATATCGAGTCGTTAATAAATGATTTGTTGCGCACATACCAAAAAAATTGGAATTTTTAAGCACAATTCACAGGCAGCTTAATTGAGTCCTTATTGAAATAATTTAAGAGAACAAAAGGACTTGATCTCAGTTCATTTATCTTGTTAAAATGTGTGAGGTCTAATAGTCCAATTAATATTATTAATAGATCTTTGCATTTATTAATTAGATTCAAAATGCAGGAAGTGTTTTCAACCAAGAATCTTTAAAATTAATGAAATTTTTAAGTAAAAGTAATTTTAATTTTTAGTTAGAATTTCAAAATAAGCAACAATAAAATGTCTAATGGATCAAGACGTGATTTTTTTTATGGCGAATCGTGACCAAAGTGAAAATTAATTACATGAACTCTTTATCACGTTTTATTTTATGATTAAGTAACTATTTTATTTAATCAATTACAAAACTTTTTAAATATTATAATTAATGTTAGGTTTCCTGTAATTACTTACGTAGATAATAATTATGTAAAAACTATTTTAATCTTATTTTTCTCTATTATTTTATAAATTTTATTGATTTGTGAATTACATACCAGTATATTGGTTCTTTAATTTTGGAGAATGAAAATCAGCAAATTTTAAAATAATTTAATTGCATGAATTGCGAGCAATTAATAAATATTTTTCTGTACACGATTTTGAACGAAAACTGAACTTTTCTTTAAGATGAATGCTGTGTGGTGATGAATTCAACTGTGGTTTCGTTGGCAGAACAGATATTAAAAGTTAATCAATTTATAATCTGTAATGCCGTGGTCTGAATTATGAAACAAGCAAAACATTCTGCGCTATACCAAATTCTTTACTATCACCTTAAACTTAAAACTCTTTTGAAAATCTAATTTCGTAATTTTACCTGACGAATCATTTTAACTATTAAAGTTACTCAAAGATCAATCGAAGCACTAAAGAAACAATGGCTTTAAAATCAATTTTTCTTTTAAATAAAGTGGTTTTTATTAAAATCGTGATGTTTAATTTGCAAGTTTACGGCCATTTCACAAGAAGTATCATTATTAACATGCTGTTTTTTGATTTAATTCAAATAACCCTATTTTATCTACATATCTGTAATTTGATATTCCTTTTCGTGGCTTTCGGATTATTTAATCTTTGAGAACTCTCTCGTCCTTCTATTGTTTGCCTCCCAAGAAAATGCATTTTTCTACTATTGTAGTATTGGAGGCTATGATGACAAAACCAAAAACAAATCATACGACAATATTGTTCTCATACCATTCCCATTATTCCCATTCTAATACACAATTCCCTTCTGAGGTCCTGTTTAATTTAATGTTAATTAAAAAAAATATATTCTCCTCTAATTAATAATATTGCCGAATTAATTATTTCAATTTCAAAAAAATTTAATTTTAAAGTCATTAAAAAAAAAAATTTAATGCTTAAACAAGAACAAATCTTCGAGTGCCAGATGAAATTTATGATTTTATTAATTGAGTTTTAAGGCACAGAAACCTTAATTTCAAAACACCCATAAAATGTGTGTGTGAACCCAAATTTTTTTTTATAAAGTTGTACACATTGTGAATTTTTATCTAATATCCGGTTACTAAATAAAAACCCGAATTTTTTTTAAATTACTTTTGGAAGAGACGTAATTTTTTTTCACGTTCTTTTGATTATAGAATGTCAAGTTAAAGACACAATAAGAATATTTTCCGAAATTCAATAAAAAACTGTATCGCCATTACTGAGCTATTGTTATGATAATTAGAACGTTTTTTATATAGAAAAATAAATAAATAAATTTTAATCGAATTGATAAAAAAAAAATTATGAAAAATTTTTAAAAAAATTTATGAATAAGAAAGAAAGTTTCACACCAAAGTGTCTAACAAAATCAAATTTAGAATTTTAAACAGAAATTACTTAACATTTTATATTTGAATAATGACTTAAGAATTTTTTTTTATAAAAAAAACAAGTATTATTAAATTAATAATGGAAATGTTTTATAAAATTTTGAAAACAAAAAAAAAATTCGTAATATTATATTTTATGCTCTATAGGATATTATTAATCTTTAAGGCACGAATTCTTGTTTATTTTTGAAATTATAATAAAATTTCCACACCTTAACCAACCCAACGCGTTTAAAATTCTCCATAATTTTCTATTTAAAACATTTTATCAAATTTTTCCGAAGAAAATTTAGGCAGAACAGCAAACATAATTTTTTTTTTTAAATTTTCATTTACTATGCTCAATTCAACTCAGAATTTAAGAATTTTGCTTGCTTTTACACTCATGATAGCTTAAAATTTGCAACCTTGAATTAAATATTTCTTATATACGGTAGTTCGAATTGTAACGGAGGAGGTTAACAGCCTATTTGGTTTAGAAATTTATTTCCTCAGGTTTAATGACGTGAAAATTGTTTAATGACAATGATGGTAAAGTCAACCAGCTTTATTGCATGAAGTAAATTCGGAAATTTGTCAAATGTATAGAGAAAGGCACATAAAATGCGGTAATACTCTTAATTTGAAAATTAGTACTTAAACAAATTTACATTTAAACACAGCTAAGCTATTAATAGCACTGTAACAAGGAAGTTTTTCCTTTCGATTTAAATTTTAAGCGGCTCTTAATATTTGTAGTAAAGAATATTTCTGTTTTCTGTGAAAGCACAAATAGTTAAAAACCCATTAAATATAGAAATAAATTTTGAATACATTAAAGTTTATGTTATGGTCTGCTATTTCGAAAAATTAAATTTTTAACATAGTCGGTTTGCTCCTCTGCTTGTTTAAGTAACGTTCTTAAAGATCCCATTCTTAAAGAGTAACTGATGGGACTTTTCATAGGGTTTCTGACAGAACAACAACAAATCTTTTTATAAAATATAATAAAATTTATTTATATATGTACAAAATGTAGTTTTTATTATTTGAAAAAATAAATAACTATTAAATTATAAAGAAATTTTTTTTATATATAATAAATTAATACAAATAACACATTCACAGCATGTAGTTATAAATTTCTATATGTACACATGTGTATGCATACACTGACGTATACACAAACACTATTTAAAACAATCAAATAAAACAAATTAAATTTTTTTTTTAATTTACAATTATTGTTTTTTTCTTTTTATAAATTTCAAACTATGTGAGTAATAATATTGATTTATTTGGTATTGTTGTCATCTTCTGGTCGTTTATCGATTTCATCAATTGGTGTTTGTGCTCTCAATTGTAATTCTTCACGTTCTTTAATATTACGTAACAATTGTACAGGATAATCGAATGCATAAAAGAATCCTTTTGGTTCACTTGTTGGTTCATTTGGATCTGGTGTCCACCATACTTTTTCTTCATATTTACCTTCATCACCGCCATCTGGTAATGGTATATTAACTTGTTCTGGTTCTGCATTTGGATCATAATATTTTAATATATTTGGTGATAATGGAGCACCAGCTGCTTCAGCTGCTTCTTTCCATACACGGAAATGTTCTTCTTTAGCTCTACGTACAGCTGGACTATCAGTAACTGGTTTAGGTACAACTTTTGGTCTATTATCTTCTTGATGGAAACCAGAATGATCAGCCCAATATGTTGCAACAAAATCACGTCCATATGGATTTACATATTTATATGTACCACGTACTGTACCAGCACGTTCTTTTTCTTCAGCTTTACCTTGATTCCAATCTGAATAACCATATTTATATGCACCTAAACCATCTTGTCCATGATATTGTTTAGCTAAATAATGTTCTTCAACATAATCACCAGGATTATCAATTACACGACCCTGATATACAAATTTTCCATCGGCATTTTTAGTTGCTGGTAATGGATTTTCACCAGTTTTTGGTGCATAATTAACATCTAAATTTAATCCAGCTAAATACTGTTCAGCTTCTTCTGGTGTAATATCTAATTTAAGAATACTTTCACCTTGAAGTGAAAACGGTATAATCTGTATTAATTAGAAGAAATAAAAATTTATTGTTATTCAGTCTATATGGCAATACTAAAAATATTAATATTAATATTTATATTAAAAAAATTTTGATTAAAATTATTTTCTTCCTTATTTATGTTTTAATTATCAAAACGTGAATTAAAATGCTTTTAAATTAAATTTTCACACAAATAATAAAAATTAAAAAATAAAATCAACAATCTTAATAATTTCTAGAAATCTCCAACTAATTTGTATGATAATTATTATACCTCATAATTAGTAGTTTTTGCAAAAACAGCAATTAAGAAAATTTGAAAAATTTGCGAAAGAAATTTAAATTAAAATTTTTTAATAGAAAAGCTTGTACGAAGTTTTGTGGTTTAAGGCGTATTTGACCTCCCAAATATTTATAAAACTAAAACAAACTTCGAATATACTTAAGAAAGCTTTCAATTTGTTGAACTAAATCTACCATATTACTTAATAAAAACTATCTAGTTTTAAGTTTAACCACGTTTAACAGATTTATTTAAATATTTGTTGACTGTACTAATCAAATTTCAAATAAACAAGCTACTTAATCGCTTTATTATACTTATTCTTTCCATTCATAGCCGGAGCTTACAAATCATGATTTTTATTTGATTCGAAATTTATCAAACTTATAGAATTACGAATGTTGGTGGATTTTTTCTGATATGGACGAAATAAGCGTCTAAATCGGACCAGTTAAAATTCTTGTATTTAAGAAGATTCTTAAATAGAGTTCTTATATGTTTAAGACCTAAACCGTGGGTTAAAGTCACATTTTTTTTAAATACAACTTGTAGTGAACACTGTTATAATTAAATACGGCTTGTTGCGAATTATGTGATATGTGAAGGCGAATACTGTTCGAATGATTTTACAATTATTTTTAGTATGATAAGAGAAAACCACAAGAAAAAATAACAACTTTCTCAAAAATAAAAATTACAGAAAAGCATTAAGAGGCAATTTAGATTGCGAAGCATTTATAATCGCTAGAAAAACTGAGAACATTTTCGAATATTATGCAATATGCTTATTCAATATTATTAGATAACGGTGTAATAAATTGAATTTGTTTAGCGCATCTTCAATAAACTACAGAGAGCTTTTTTTTATTTTTAACTTCTAATTCTAATAATTATGCGAGTAAACATTTGCTTTTTATTCGCTGCACCTTAAATCTCATAAAATATTTTTGAATAATGTAATCAAGGTGAACGATGCGATGTTAGACGATTACACTCTTAAGAATTTTTGCACTTAACACTATCAGTTTTGTATTAAATTTCCGTAATAATTTTGATCGCACTTACCGCTAATAGCACTATCGATATCAACAATTTCATTTTTGTATAAAATTTCTTTATTTATTTTAATTTCAATTTATTATTCACTTAATTTATTTGTATTTTTAATTTTTCAAAATTTTTTTTAATAATTATTCGTTTTTTTTTATTTATTTATTTAATTTCCCGATTCAATGTTAACTCGTTGAGATTTATATTTGAAATAAAGCTTAAAGTTTCAGTACCAGTTAATTTTATATATAAGTTGAAAACTCTCTTGACAGTATTGTAGAAGAAGCTATCAACAGCATCCGTCTTGTGAGAATTTTGTTTTTTTATTCTCTTTATTTTTATTATTTTGTTTTCTCGCTTCTACTACTTGTAATCTCTGTGAATATTGTTGTTAATGATTGGAGTTCGATTAATATGAAGATATGCTAAAATTTGTGGCGTATATTGATGGCGATGATTCATAGATATTTAATAAATTATTTATTTTTCTTGTACAACCAGTTTGGAAATTTTTTTTTATTGTTTTTTGGCATTAAAAGTTTGAAAATTTTAGAAGATGAGCGCTTCTTATCAAATATATTGATATTGCTTTTTTGTAAAAATTTGTGTAGTATTATAAACTTCATTTTTACGGCAGGCTAGTCACCTACCTACTTTAACTCTATGACGCTATGAAAATAGTGCATGATATCATCATGCACTAGCCCTATACTACTCCTAGGAGTGAAGAAGGAAAAAAAAAAGAAATTAAACATCATTTTATGTTTAATGGCGCATAATGCCATAAAAAAATTTGAAAAAATTTCTTGTTAGCTTCATTAAATTAGCATGGGTGTCAGTCTTCCCACTGGTCTCAACCCGAGTATGCAAAAATTCGAGATAAAAACCTGAAATTTCCCGAGCAAACTAATTATTTAGAACAATATTTTAATATGTACGGATGTCAAGTTGACTTTTCAAATTAAGCATTATTATAAACTTATTTTTTTCTAATTTTTTCCAAGGTTTTTATTCTGACATTTTCCGAAGTGCTTAAAATTTTTCGAGATATGAATGAATTTATCATTTTGTTATTTATTCATTCTCTTCTGAGAACCATTCGTTTTCTCCTCTGGTCCTATACTGAATTTAACGAAATTTGAATTTTTCCATTATCAAATTTATTCATTTTGTTTCATATTCCTCCTAAATGTATGCAACAAATTCAAAATATAAGTCAATATAAGGTACTACCCCAATAGCTACATACTTATAGTATAATTCCATTGAATTTTTTAGTGAATAATTAATTGTGCTCTTCCCTAGAAGGCAATATTATTCTACTGCAATCTATTAGTTATGTTTATAGTATGACCAACGTTATCCATTATTTTCTAGCAGTAGTTAGTCAATGGTATCTTAAAGTTGGCATACAATACGCTTGTCCATTATCACTAATTTTATTTATAATTAATTTAAGTCTTTTTTACTTAGAAAAGATTTATAATTTGCATTTTTTTTACATTTTGTTTTGTTGTTTTTTTATTAACATGCTTTATTTTTTTGTTTTCACAAGTTGGTGAGTTTTACTAAAATTTAATTAATGACTTGTTATAAATTTTAGTATCGGTAATAATAATTTTCGTTAAATGAAAATATTGGTATAGAATTTTTAATACATTGAAAATTTAAATTAATGTTGGTGGTTATATGTGCTACTGAGATTTTATAGAGTTCTAGACTTAATTTTGTTTCTATATGCATAAAAATAGTTAAAATTCTTAGTAATTTACTTAGAATGTTATTTTGATAATAGAAATTACATAAGTAAATTAAGTATAATTTTGATTCTTAGAATTCTGTTCCATTCACCCAAATTAAATTTGTTCGGTTTGGGTTGTGAGTTAAATTGAATATTTTATTCCATTTACAATTCACACACTTATTATGCATAAATTAACATTGTTTATATATCATAAATATATCGAATGTTATTTTGTAATTATTTATGCGGGATGACAAAACTCATAATGTGCAAAATAAATTTTCATAAAGAACATTGTATTTCCTTAATGAATTGCATATTTTTAAATGCACTTCCTGTCTTTAATCGTTAAATACCATTCAATATTTATTGGAAGTATTCACGTGAAATTGCAACTATTAATGAAGTACATTATGAATGGAAGGACAAATACAATACCAGAGAATGCGATGCAGTTTATGGTAGTGAAATTGAATCCGAATGTAAAACAAAAGAATTAATGGAAATCAGTAAGATTTTGCCACTATTTTAGTTAAAAATTTCCGAATGTATAATTTAGAAAAATTTATGATTATATAATTTAGTAAATTTTTTTGATTCTGCTATAATTTAGAAAAAGTAGGCAAATCTATATTTAAAGTAAAAGTTTTTATGAGATATTACTGAGAATTATTCAAATTTTTTGAATAATCATTCAATCTCTCCCATAACTATCGCACGAGGATTCTTTAATGTTCAGCTATGTCAATTAATTTCATTGGCTTGCCCTCTATCAATTCAACTCATTTGATTAGCTTGGATCAGCTTACTTAAATTTTTTAATTATAGCTTTAAAAATTAAGTTTTATGTGATCTATGGAGTGCGTTATTACTCGTTTCAATTGCATTTCCGTAAAACGCGGTATCGTATATTATTTTATTCAATCTAAAGTATCAGTTTGCAAAAATTACAACCTTCTACAATCTATTACAGGTTCATTTGGTTTTACAATTTTTATAATTAAGCAATTCACTTTTACTTTTCACATTCTTCTCAGTAGTGTAGCCGCTCTTATTGAATATAAAAGAAATTAATATCTTTTATATTTTAAGTCACAGGACCCGTCATTTAAAATTTGCCGTATACATATATTTCTGCCTTTATAAGAATATCAAATTGCATTATACTCCAAGCTCTTTCAATAATTTATTCTTTACATACAAAAAGAAAAAAAATTGTCATTTAATAAATTTAAAAAAATAATTTGCATATGAAAACAAAATATTTATCGAATTTGTTCATTACCTAAATTTAAATGATTGAACCATCAATGAATGAATACTTTAACACAATTTTATTATTATTTAAATTAGAATAATATTTATTACATTTAAATTAAGACCATATTCATAAAATAGCTTCCAGATGAATAAATATTTTCTTAAGAAATTTGTTAACCATATCAACCAACCCTCTTTAATTCCAACAAACACACCCGTATAGAATATGATTTTAAGAATATTATAGAAATTAATGAAATTAAAATTTGATATTTTACTTACATTTAAAACACAATATTTGACACTTAACTGAAGTATGTAGAAACTTAATACGAATAGTTTTTCCTAGGAAATGTTTTTATAATTTTGGAAGACAATCCTAATTAATAATATACTACAACATTACTTGTAGAATAAAGTTTTAAAATACAATAATTGAATATATGTGTGTATATGATATAATAATGATTATGTTAATGACATCACGATAATAATCTTCTGATAATCAAGTTATTTAATAATTGTTGCAAAACATATGCAGTTAATATTAAGGAGTTGATATTAAGTGTTATATACATTATTAAAAAGGTTGAATATTACTGCAATATATTGTAGTTTTTAGTGAAATAATAATTAAGAATCATTCTTACTTAGGAATAATTAAAAATAAAATCGGTTTGCAAGAAAAATTTCAATCCAATCCTCAGTATTTGAGCCATTTTCTTCAATTTATTAATTATACAGAATTAATATCTTTATATACAGGAACCCTTTTGTTCTTTAGTTCGTGTTAATGTTCTATCAAAATGAGATTTAATAGTTTTGCATATAATTACCAAAATATTCAAAAATAGTTTTACATAATATACGAATATACCTAATTTAAATTACACAAATATTTAAACACAAATATTTGCAAAAATGGTAATTACGATAAAATATTGGGAAGAATAATATTTGAAATGCTCAGCAAAATCTCGAATAAAACCGCAATATTGAAAAAATTTATGATTTTGTTTTTTTTTTTTGCATATAGAACTTCTTCATTTTAATCACTTTTTTACGTAACCTCACATTAAAGTGTTTAAATCTGCTGAGCTCTTCAATCATATTTGAATATTAATTAAGTATAAAACTAGAATAAGAATCTTATAGAACAAGTTTGTGAAGTAATAGAGTGTGTTTACCAAAATATTTGCATTCTTGATTTATTTCACATGTGTATTTAATAATATAATTGTATTTTTAATATTTGAATTTTAAATATTATGCTTGAGTGCTTCAACACCTCTTTAAAACTTGAAAAGGTAAGATAAATGTTTAAGTGTTTCTGTGTAAATATTTTTATTCAATCGAAATTTTACAAAAAAATTTAATTAAAATAGTAAATTTATTTTCGGAACAGAAGCGAATCTTCAATCCTCACCAATCAAGGTTAGTGTTATTCTTCTTAGTATTTAATAATTTACGCACACTTAAGAGAATTAAGATAGCAATTATTGTTATGTACAAAGGTATTCGTGTATATAAAAATTTAATATCGATATTTGTTATCTTTATTTTGACATTGACATTTTTGGCGAATGAGTTTCATAGAAAAGTTTAAAAAATAACAAAACTATTTTGCCGTAAATGAAAGTTTCTCAATTTTATTAAATTGTTAAATGAGAGAATTTGAAAGTTGGATCCATACGGAAAATTCAATGCTTCTCTTGATTTTTTGAAAAAATTAATTAAATGTTATCAGAGCAAATTGAAATTTTTAATTTGACACTTTAATGTCATTTGAATACTTTGACACTTTAATTTGATTTGAATACTGCGGCACTTCAATTTTATGTGTCTTCACTCATATCATATGCAATTCACTTTTAGAGTTTCCATAAAATATGGCGAACAATACAACATTTTATTATTTAAAATTAATTAAAAATTATTTAAATTTCATGTTTTTATCAAAATTATCGATACAACAACAAATTTTTTAAATTAATTTTTTATAATTATTGCTCATCTTCTAATAATATAAAAAAAACTAATAAAAACAACAAAACATTCATTCAGAATAACAATAACAATATTTTAACCTGTAAAAGTAACAACAAAAATATTGTCATAATATTGGTTTTGTTTAAACAAAAACAACAATAAATTTAATGGTTAATAAATAACAGAGAAAAAAAAAATA